GTTTATTGAAAATCATTTTACCTCTTATTCTATGTATCTGAGGTCAATCAGTTCATTCCCTTCTGTTAATAAATGTCACTTCACATTTGAAGTGCTTTATCTGCTTTTAATTTGTTCGCAATGCTGTACTTGTTCCTAATTCATATGAAGTGGCTTACTTCTTCTTAACTCGTCTGAAGTGAATTACTTCTTCTTAATTCTTCTTAATTCGTCTCAAGTACTCTCAGTTCTTTCATTCATAAAACATAACAAAAATATAAACCAAACATAAACAAATACATAATTTCATTAAACATAATAAAAGTGTTACAAACTGTTTAAATGTTCTACAAAAAATTAAAAACAACAAATCAAAATTAGTTCTCCGCTGGAGGAGGTGGCTCCACTGGCTCCTCTTCGGTTGGAAAAGGTGGCTGTCTTGGCTGTTGCTCGTCTGGCAGAGGAGGCTGCTCATCGTCGGAGGGAACTGGATGAATCTCCACTTCTAGAGCGGGTTGGCTCTCACCCACTTCAGCTTCCTCCACTCTTGCCTCCATCTCGTCTCCCTCTACCTCTGCCCCTTGATCCTCCACTGCCACGAACTCGAAGTCGAACTGTGGAGGGAAAACAGCACGTCCGTTTGCATCATCCTCCCACCTCAGTTTGATCTGAGGACGGAAGTCTGCTGACATGCTTTCACCATCTTCCTCCACTCCTTCTTCTTGCTCTCCGAAGGTGATCTTCGTAATATCCACTTCGGGATATTTGGCCTTCACCTTCTTCCTGCAGTCCATGAATGCGATGATGGCAGTAGGCAGTCGGTATAAGTTGACGATGTTGTCAAACGAGCTGAAGCTGATGAAGTTGTCGATGTGCTCCTTCATCCCATTGTGCACTAGGGTCTGCACATTCCCCTTCAGCTCCAAGAAAGCCTCCTTCGTCAGCTTTAATTCTTGTGCCAGAGCCTCACGCTCGCTTTCAGAGATCTTTCGCTTGGTCTCTTCAAAGCCGAGCTTGGTGCCCAGGGACGACCTATCCTGTTCCAACTGCTTCACAGTTGGAACCACCTCATCTAGAGACTCTTGCAGTTCTTTTTTTTTCTTCTCCAGCTCCTCTTTCTCCTTTTGCAGCTGGTCATACTGCCTCTGCAAGAGTGCCCGCTCCTTCAGGCTCTCCCTGAATTCCTGGGCTAGACCATTCACCGAGCTCGCGCTCTGCAAATCAAAACCGAGGTTAGGAGAGGAAGAAGAGAAGATGACACAGCTTAACTACACAACATTACTAATTTAACATACCTCTAGAGCGTGCCTCACCACAGACGCTCCACCATGCCTCAGAGCTTCCTCCCGCGCGTAGCTTCGGTCCACTTCGGGGAAGGTGTTGTTGATGAACCACCTCGCCCCTGTTATGTTCTTCGCCTCGAACAGGCTGCTCTGAGGCCCCAGTGGGGGAATGGGGCCTTTTCCCTTGCCAGGAGCTCGTACCTCAGCCCCCTCCTCCAACCGTCTGAGCTCAGGGTTCAGCTCAACAGGAAGAGGCTGAGGTACGAACTCAGGAACTTCATTCCCCCTCTCCTCCTCCACCACCCTCT